GGTTCCCGCCCATCCTGCATGTCAATGTGGCTATGAGCTGAAGATGCGACATCACGGAGTGGACCAAGACGGTGCTGCTCGAAACGCGTCATCGCTCTAAGCATTACCCCGTGGTCTTATCGGAGACCACAAGGATGCTCTTTAAGCCCTCTAGTTATCGACCGGAAAATATGGAGTAGCATGTTTCAAACATGGCTTGACAGCCCAATTCGAAGCATCATGGCAGCACGAAGCGGTCAGCAGGCGTGGTAGTGTCGCCCCTCAACTGATGGCGTTGTGGCTGTGGAACCGAGCGCTGCAAGTTCGTGCCACGCCCACCCACCCTGCATGTGGTTATGAAATGGAAATGAGCCATCACGGCGTGGGGAAAGATGGTGCTACTCCGAACACGTCAAAGCACTATTCATAGTACTATTCCTTAACCCCCGTGATTTATTCGGAGACCTCACATGGACGCCTTTTAAGCCCTTAAGTAAATTTAGGCTTTCTGCCAGCTGCCGCAAAATACGGAGCTGTCGTAACCGCTTGACAGCCCAGTTCAAAGCACTCCATATCCGAAAAACATACTGCGCCAGTCACGAGGTTCGCTGCATGAGCATGGACTGCAGACACGCCGAGCGCAAAGCAGGTGGTGATCCCGAACTCTCTACTCTTATTTGACCCCTACAGGCCATAGGAAGCAGGCACCCATGTTCCATATTGACACACGGCGCCTCACACCACTGGTCGGAGATCGGGACCCCACATGTCTGTAGGATTGCCAGGCCGTTCATGCCAAGTACGTGTTGAAGGTTTACGACTCGGCAATCCAAACCTTGGACGGCGGGAGAAGTATCTTGCAGAGCTATGCAAAGCCAATGGGGAGTCCAGACTTTGGCATCCTCGTGCAAGCATATTAGTTGAAGCCTGGCGAGTCTCCGGCGCAACACGAGTCAAAGTGTCTGAGCTCTTGGTATAAAGGGCACGCATGCTGCGACAGCGGCACAGAAAGACAACAACAGAGAACAGCCGGCGTGTTCGATGAGCGACATCAAGGCCGGGGCATCTTCATGCTCAGCAGAAATTAAATCTGTCGACTTCCGTGACACAACCTGTATCCGAGGCCAATATACTAGGCCATTGGCCTGCACCACGAAATCACACAAGCGCACGGATGCTTGTGGAGAGGCTCCCAACTTGGCTGCGAGAAAACCAGAATCTCCATCTGCACTGGCCTCCGAAAAGACACTGCCAGGGCTCTCAAGATTGAGGAGGAGCTCTGAATTTGGCGGCCAGAAACTCTGAGTCTCCATCTGCACTGGACGTGCCCTGGGCACCAATCGTCCGCTGACTCAGCGCACAGACCTTGCAGCAAGCAAGTTTCCGGGCCGGACCCAATCTGAGGATCAAGCTGGAGCCCTTAAGTGTCTCACTGATGCTGGTGACACCAACTGCAGGCACACACACTGTAGCCGCCACCGACAACTTAGCACGACGTCCCCGCCCGCAAACAAGTTGGAAGTTGCGGCCGACACGGATGCCGTGGCTAAGGGAAGAGAAGTGGAGATTCATGATCGACTTCCCGAACCACGGACGACTGCCACAACATCGTCGTCTGAGTCAAGGCCCGGAGGCATGAGAGAACGGAAGCGGCACCCGGTGCTTGAAGCCTAAGTCCCCCGGAGATTTCTCCTGAAAGGGTCTCGACATGCTTTTGTCTTTGCACGTTCCGTTCTGATGGGATTTGGATACTTAACGACAATATGTGGGGTTTCTGCCTATGAAGCCGTGAACACCTGCCGCAGCTCCATGAAAAAGCTCTCGAAAAGAGCCGTGGAGGTTCCGAAGTCTGGACCTTTGCCCACGACTGCACTTCAGAGTATAGCTCTCTGGGGTTTAGGGTTCCAGGGTCATGGGGGGTTTATGACGTCAAAGCCGCAGTGCACAACGGCGACATGGTCCAAAGATGCACCGCATGGGTTCGGAAACTTCCTTGGATTCCTTAATATGAACTATACTCTCATGCAGCGACCACAGAGGTGCACGCCAACCTTGAAGTGGAGGAGCACAGCTCGGCTCAACACAGTCTATGCGAGTCTCTGTAGCGATGCGACTTCATTGGAGCGTGGCAAACCGTGCTGCAGTGTGGAGCCTGCGCAAAAATACTATAGAGGTGTAGTCAAGTAGTCGGAGCATAGCGGCGCAATTGCGGCGCAAGCACGGCAGACTTGGCTGGCACTGCACGGCGCATCCAGATCCGGACATGGCCCGTGCCTGCAAGAGCTTTGATGCTCTCGCAGGTCTCTGCATCACAAGCCGCACTCTCGAGCTAGTCGCCCAGGCCAAGTATAGCGGAAGCTCGATCGGATCGCCCACCTCCGCACCAGGAAGCAAGAGGATAGTGAAAACAGGGGACCCCAATATAAGATCATTATGATGATTACAACTGTTTGGGCCTCAAGCCCTACACCTGAAACCCTGGTCCAACAGGGTCCTTAGCATGAACCGTACTAACACAAACCACAACGACAACAATACGTACATGAAACATCACTTCAGACCCCAATTTCATCTCTCACCTTTGCGACCTCAAGCCCGTCCACTCAGCATATCCGCGTGGCCGAGGCATGCAACAATCTGTTACCTGTACCAGACAGTTCGGATCCAGGTGGGACAGGGTGGGGTCCACTTCCCGGGCGATGTGCAGCAAGAACATCGCGGCCATAAAGCAAGGGCTGTCAGCAGAATGTCTCTACTTCAGAGCTACCTCTTCTTCCCCCAGGGCGAGGATCCCCCAGCCCCAGGGCAAAACCCATATCTACTTGTGTAGGGGGGGTTCGGGAAATCCCGGCTTATTGCATACCAAGCCGTTGTAGATCCTCGGCATATTTCACAACATCTTGGTTCAAGTAAGTCTTCCTGAGGAAGGGGCCCAAAAAGGCATAGCTTCGACAACAGCGAATCGGGGCTCCGAGTTCCGGTGGAGGATTGGACTCGTGCGCATGCCGCTTTCGCACTAGATCTCAACACATGCATGCCATACGACTTTGGGAAGCAAAGAAACCTGAAACCATGCCTAGATTGCAGAAGTTAATCAAGCCCAACAGCCTGGGCCGCAGACGATCAAGATATGTCTGGGCCAACGCGGAGCCTGCAGGCGCTGCTCCACCGAGCCTGCTGGCTGTAGCTTTTATAGGGTTTGACGTTCAGTTTAGGTCCATGATGATTGAGTAGAAGATTGTGCACAACCCTCTGGAAAAATCCATCGTTCCTGGAGGAAAAGCGGTCCTCCGACGCAGGAGGATGTCCAGGTGTCTCAGCACGCCCCAACGGAACTGCAGCTGGCACCTGGGATTACCGGCCGGTGGCTCAACTATGAGTGTATGGCGAAGGGAGGCGACTTGTAAAGCAAAGGGATCTGTCCGGCAAATTCACCTACCACCGTCTCTGTGCAAACCAAAGTCTGTGAATCACCAACACCGAAGCCTCCAAAGCTGAATGCGAGGCGCGGCTTTTTTCTCCAAGGAACTGCTTTTGCCAAGCTGCTGCAAAGGGATGTGGCATCAGGAGCAAACAGACGAGCGACAGGCTAAAACATGAAAAGGCAACTTTGGAGTTTGGCTTAGATCTCCAGGTCAAGGCTAGACGCCAAACCCCAAACCTTAAGGCTTGCCATGTGCCCTAGAATCTGACCCTTGTTCTGTTGAGTTTTCGGGCTTTGGACCATGAGATCGAACAGATCGGGGAGTGGGGCATCAACTTTTCCCCTGGGTTCAAGCTAGGGATGACAAAGAGCGAAAGGCAGGATGCAGAAAGCCAAGCTGACGATTTTGGTTGCAATGTAACATGCTGCGGTCTTTCGCCGTCCCAGTTATGGCCGCTCGACTTCAGTGGGGCCCCGGAAGACTTTGCAACAGCTTTGAGTCGATTTTGCGGTTTAGGTTTAGGATGCTGTGGGATTCTCGAGATTTGGGAGACCTAGGCTTCAGTGCTTTAGTGCAGCCATTGAAGCACTTTCACAGCCCTGGAACAACGATCGCCACGCCATGTTGGCGAGCGAGCCAAGAAGCTGCACACGCTGCGGCAAAACTCTTACATGCTAAACGGAATTCCAGTCGCGGTCCCACCCTTTACCGACATCAGCAGCGTTAGATATGATGTCTGTCGTCGGGTCGGCTGTGTTGAGTATTATGCCGAGTCGTGCGCTGCCATCGAGCTACATGGGGAGGTGAGCGCGCCCCCGAGGGCCCTTCCGACTCTTCGAGCAATGCTGGAATGAAACAAAAACTCTACGGGCTAACCCGTGCTATACGGGCCTCAATACTGCATGGTGCTTTGAGGGTATAGACTGGTGTAGAACTGCTTCACTGCACTGTGGGCTGTAGGGAATTTCATTGATGCCTATAACTGTTCAGACCTCCGTATGATGACGGCACCCCGCAAAGTTTTGTCGGGAACCCAGGTACAGATGTGTCTCGTAATGTCTTCTACTCGGCAGCAACATGAAATCGGACCCTCTCGGGCGGCACTGACACTGGACACTGGTAGGCTTGCTCTTGGAGCAGCAGTCAGGCGCCAGGAATGGGTCGAGGGGAACACAGACGTGGGGAATTTTAGGTCCTCTAATTTTGGCGGCCCGGTCAAGCCTAAAGCCTCTCACACCTGCCCCGCCCTCAAGATCGCGGTGCTCCGAAAACCCCTACAGAAGTCCACAGCCCAAATCAGACCCTTATCAGACCCTGTCCCCATAAACCCTAAACTCTGAATGCCAGCGCTTGCGAATCCGCAGGCCGGGACGGTGAGTAGTACAAACCAAGCGCTGAACCAGAGGACTCTTCCGGAAGAACCGAATCCTTAGGTCAGCATCCCTCAATCCCCCAGCTCGGGAAGCAGAGATCCCTGGAGCCAAAGGTTTCTGACGGGGTTCCGGGGCTCTGTAGGGTCTACAGGGGTAGACGTGAAGTGAGGTAACCCGGCCGTCAATCCCGGGGCCTGCGCCTGGGGTGAAACACTTGGCTCGCTCACTGCCCTTTCGCTGTTATGGGATATGCAATCTCTTTCGCTTTCCACCGCCTTAGACGTCAGATGTGGTACGCCAAGAAGGGCATACGAACAGCACCAGCTCAGCTCCAGGCAATTCATACAGTCTGTTGTTGGCTTTCGCCTTAGGAGCAGCTGGGGCTTCGCAGATCGGCTCTTTGGGCACGGGAGCAACGGCAAAGCTGCTTGTGCCCTCCCCAACCTGGATCTTGCACAAACGAAGGTGTCCATGACGATGCTAATTATGAACAAGCCCAAGCCCATGGACTCATGCACCAAGACCGAGACCCCTAAGACCTAAGTGATTCCGAAAACCCTGCCAATCAACTAATGGAGTCTTACCGAGTTGTAGAAGGGGTCTAGAAGGCTTAATGTGGGGGGCTCTACACTATACAAGTCTGGTTCGGGAATGCCAAGTAACGTAAATCTGAATTGAAAAGTTAAAAATAATTGCTCCTGGCCCCATAGGTCTGTTTGATCATCCCTTCACCGATGACTCGCCCGAAGCCAAATGGAGCTGTAGATCCCCTGAGGAACGAGGCCACAAACTGCGAGAAGGTGATCTTCAACTCCTGCCCATCCGATCCTGGCAGGTCACACGGCTCATGCGGCTGTGGTCTCAGATCAGGTGATATAAGAGGCCTACATACTGCAAACCCTCCACCATGTGAGAGAAGAACACGCCTTTCTGCTCTTCGCCGAAGATCTCCCCGATCTCTTTATCCAAGTATTTGCGGCCTCGCTTTCATCGCAAAAACTGACTTGGCATCAGTGTGTTCTCAATCCGCTTCTTCTTGGTTGTCCTACAACCCCCAAGCTGGGAAGGCTGGGTCTTTCGAGTTGCGACGGATTGAAAAGCTCTAAGGGCTCTTATTATGCCCGGCGAGCTACCCGCTCTTTGGACTCATCTCAGACAAGCTAGGGCCGAAGCACGCTTATCTTGCCCAACCTGTCGAATGGACTTCTCAGGCGCCAGCCGTGTCGCACGTAGATGATTTGCAAGGTCTGTTCCACGCTGATCTTGCCGTGGAAGTCCTGTCATGCAGCGCGGGCTGCCAAAGCTTCGCCCGTTGAGGCCACTCTGTTTCTGGCACAGCTGAGAAACTCCCTGTTTAAAAGGAAGGGCCTGAACGAAGCTCCAAAACCGATCCATTTTTTCGGGGCCAGGCCTTGTCGTACATCAGGAACTGGACCAAGTTAAAGAGGTTTCGCGGCCTGTGGTATAAGGGAGCTGCGACAGCTGTTGCTCTGGGTCAGCACGTCGGAAATCGCTGGCTGTGAGGGGTTTTGTGAGGAGTTTGCGGGTGCTACAAATGCTGTTGATCTAAACCGTTTCGAGCGGCTGTCAGGTTGGGCATCTTCGCACGAATAGGACACTGCTGGGGCGGCTGCTCAAAACCGGTCTGATCGGAGATGCACCTGGCATGCAAACAAGTGAGCGTCAGAAGCTCTGAGGGATAAACAAGCCCTGGCCAGCCTCTGATACATGGTCAGGAACTCATCCCATCCTGCATTGAAGGGGGGTGAGGCTTTGTCTATAACCAACCCAAATCGCGCATAGGAGCCAGACACGGCCTAGGGGCATAAGTGGCTTGGAGCAGCCTATAGCTATCAATTCGACAAAATCGCCATTCGCAGCTTCTGATCGACGATCTTTGTTAGGGCTAGGACCTAGGAAGGTACGAAGACCAAAGGCCGCACGTGAACCGAATCACCCCAGCAACTCCTAAATCCAGCTTAGCCCCTCGAATCCGAAACACGGCACCCTACACCTGCAAACTTTGAACCCCTCTACAGGCCCACCCAGACCCCACACCAGACCAGGGCAGCACCCAAGGCTGCGTTCCTACCATGTGGTCCAAATCATCATCGACCTGCGGAGGGTAGAAAGTGGTCTTTCCGATGTCCGGCTAAGGGCCTTTACTGTAGGGCTGTAGGGGGTCCAGGGCTTCAGGTGTTAAGGCTTCCGGGAGGTGAGTGAAATGGATGTTGTACGAATGCATAAGACATAAGAGCAGTGGCTCGGGGCATCCGGAGCCCTTGTGCTCTCAGCTGCATGAAAGACGCGCATCCACCACATCGCCATGATTACGCAGGAGACACCGATATAATTGTCAAAATAGTCTCGTACTTCAGAGTACTGATCCGAAAATCTGGCGCTTCGGGTGCAGCAGTCGGAGATTGCCCTGCCCGAATAGTCCTCATCTGTCTGCAGATGCTCCCTCGAAGCCCACTTATTTGGTCTAGTCCAAGCGGACTTCCATACTACGGCCAACCTGCATCTTCAGGTCTGAAGAGGTACATCCATCGGAAGCGCGCGCACCGGCTTGCCTCCCAAATCCAGAGCTCGATCTGATCTTTCGCGGTCTTCGCACCTCGAACCCAAGAATTGCAGCCTGTATAGTCTTTTGATCCATTCTGCGAAAGTTATATCCTGTCATATATCCTGCCAGACCAGCAGGTTACATTACGCTACGGTATGCTGCATTATGCTGCATTGCGTTGAAATGTGAGAGATTGGCTCTATCCCTCTCTCTCTCGCTCTCTCTCTCTCTCTCTCTCTCTCTCTCTCTCTCTCGCGCTCTGTGTTTGCACGTGTACCTGCGTATTCTCGTCGCTGAATTTGGCTGATGGCAGAAGTACGATCCGAGTTCAAGTTCAGGCCGCAGCAGAGCATGCAGAGTTTGTTTCGCTATTGCAATGCTTCGTCACCTGCGTGTCCACTGCCTGAATCTCCGTACGTGTCTCCTGGTCTTGTGCTCGAAGTCTTCAGACGAATGAGAGTAGAGCGGCATGGGCCTCCGCCACGCCCAGTGAAAGCTGCCAGCATTTAGCGCCCCAAACCAAGAACTCGCAAAGAATGCCCAGTCTGCTTCGAAAGCCAATCAGGAGCCACCAAACCCGTCCAAACTCACTGTTGACCGGTCTGGGCTCCGGTCCAAGCTTTACCAAGGCTTCTGACAGCTCCTAGCAGTGCGATGTGCCATTCCTTGTTAGCGTCATATTCGTGCCAGGTCTCAACAACCCAGCTAGAGTTCGAAATCCCATAGCCAGGTTTCTGCCTGGCTTCCCTACAGATCTTAACTTCAGGACTTGGCGGGAGGGTCCTGCCAGCAGATCTTGTCGTCTTTCTTGGTGTCCAGCCTCGATAAGGGCAGTTGCCGGTTGTCAAAACTAGGCTGCCGGTTGGGTTCCCGCCATATTAAGAGTAGAATTATATGTAGGGTTCTCCAAAGGGATTTTGATTTGCCCATAAAGAACTGGCATCTGGGGGACTTTCTTCGGGTCAGTTCTGCGAGACTGGGCCCGCTCAGCCATGGATTCGCAGCAGAGCTTTTCGCCTTGAATATGCATCCCTCTCTCAGCAAACCTCCACCTCGGGTTCTTCGTGAAAGCAAAAGCTTTGCGGCCTGCGGAACCTTGGTCCAAGCCCCTGGCCACTTGAAGACTCTTTTCAGGTTTTCCAGCTCGACTGGCTGAACAGTATCCTGGAAACACATTCGGGAGCTCGTGTTGTGAATCCTAAATATCCGACTGTACAGACACCACCCGCCGACATGCAGAACTTCGAGATTGCGGTAGACTCATTCACAAGCATGAGAGCCAAGGAACAAGCACAAAGAAGCCAGCCTGCTCCGGGCCCGGACTCGACTCTCAGATCGAAAGCGGTGTAGGATTTGGGGTTTAGGCTTTGGCCATCGGCCATCATCCAGACATGCTCTGCATTGAAGGCGGGTGAAACTCTAAACCCGTGTACAACCCTATAAGAACTGTGAAACCCTTCGAGCCCCGTTCTACTATGACATTCAAACATGCCCAGGCTTCTAGCTGTTCATTCATGCCTTCTAACAGCTCCTGAACTCACACCCTCAAGTCACCTCAACACAGGGAAACCGCCAGACCTGCCATGGGAGTCGCCCGACCCCAATGTAGGAACCGGATTTCTAAGTTCCCAAAAAATACGAGTGCAAAAAAGCACTCGGACCAAATAAACGCGATATTCCCAGGCTGTATTCAGTAGCCCCGTGGCTTGATTATTGGAATAAAACTGAAACATGATTCCTAGGGAAGACCTATATATTCAAGATGCTCAGAGGCACCAGCACTTGCTGATTTGGGTTCCTATGCGGAAGCTTCGACCAATATCTGAGCGACGCTGATATCCACCATAAGGCAGGAGGCTACTATCCATGGGGATTGTTGCTCAGGATTTCCTGATTCTGAGGGAATTGCGGTGCATCCAATCTCAAGAAATCCCCTCGCATTCATCCGAACTCCGTGGGGGCGGTCCCCGTGGGCGAGGTACTCCGAGTTCTGGAGCGTTGCACCCCTGTAGGGCACTGTAGGGCTCAGGGCAAATTGACAGCTCTTAAGTGCCTTTTGAGGGTTTTGATGCTTGGGTTCGAGCTTGATTCAAGGCCGATTGGGGGCTCGGACCCTGCTTAACCTCAACACCCCCCCACCCTCCGGGTTTTAGGGTCAGCCCAAGTCTTGTTGGGGTTTAGGGTTCGGGGGGCGGCTCAGGCTTCAGGGATAAAGGTGCGGACAGTCAGGGTTAAGTTTCGCGTTTATTGGGGTCAGGGTTTAGGATGTGGAGCTAGATTGGGGGGATAAGATTTCGTGGACAGTGACCGCTCGGGCTTGTAAACCTCTGATCAATAGGCCCCTTCAATTCATCAGTCTTATTGATATGCAGATCCTAATCCTTAGCATAGCGGGTGCATTCATCAGGGGTCTCCATTCGGCTTTCAATCTTGGCATCCGAATTCAGGGCCATTAGGGTTCCCTGAACCCCAGCCCTAGCCCCCTAGACCATCTCAAAAGTCGTCAAGCAGCGGCTTGGTTGTGGTTGGAGGCATGACTTCACAAAGCATGCTTCAGCACGCGGCTAGCTCTTGGCCCCGACACTGGGAAGAGCCAACCCCAAAAGCTGTTGCAAACCATGAATGGCAAACCCGAACAATCAACCTATATTCCTATATCGTATACGCCCTTACCGCCCTTTCGTCCCGCGACCCTTCATCCTAAACCCAGTCGATGCATCATCCTGCCTGTGGTTGTTCTGCAGGGGCACTCCTCGTCGGAAGCCTGCCCTGGCACGAAGTCTTTGCTCTCGTGGTCTAACACATGTTTTGACATTACGCATGGCTCAGGCCCTACATTGGCAGCAAGCACACTTCCCTCAACCCCAAAGAACCGAGAATATACATGTACGTATACATTGATAAATAAATGAATATACACGCGAAGATGTGCATGTACGCATGAATGCACACAATCTACATATACACGTACAGGTACAGATACCTATACGCTTACCTATAACTCTATAACTGTGCATACCGAAGCCCGACCTATAGACCTAGACCTGAACCTACAGACATTATATACAGATGCGCAAAGGCATGCACACAGACACATCTTTTGTGGAGAAGCTGTGTCTATGGCCAGGCTCGCTGTCACTGAGAAGCTGGCAGCTGACTCAAGTCCTCAGTCGCTGCCATCTCTGTCCTCATTCGAAGCAAACGGAGGGGAAACTTCCAAAGCAGCTCAAGCAAGGTTTAGTTTTACTGTTTGGATCTTTGCGATTTGGGCGCACCACAGGGCCCTCGCATAAAGCAAAGGCAGCTGAGCACGGTTAGATCTGAACCCTTCGAGCCTGAAGCGCTCAAAACATGAAAGCCCTCAATCCCTAATAAGACCTTGAAGAATTTCAGCGTTCGACACAGATCAGTCCTTCCGGAGCGCGGACGCCGGCGCGGGCCCTGTTTCGTCCCTTCTACGCCTCACCCCTCCGTCTCAGAGCCAGCAGATGAGATTCGAGGCTGGATTGGGCTTTAGGACCGGTGAGGGTGTAAGGCCTGGCGATTCAGCACTCCGTGTTCATCTGCTCACGCTGTTGAACCTCGGCTAGTTAGCTACGGAAGACGAAACGAAAAGAACAACCGATTACGACAACGGGCTCTGATGAAGGTCTCCCTACCTTCAACCCGAAATCATGAACTGCCTCACATTAGATGTTGCAAGGTGCCACCCTTGAGTCTAAGAGGGGAGAACCGGGGAGTCTGTCAAGGGTCCCTTTTCCGCGTCTTTGTATCGAGCCAAGGCTTCGAGCTCCCGGGTCTCGGAAGGCTCACATCATCGGCTTCTTCCGATTGAAGGCAGGCTCCTTGCAAGCGAGATGAACTGCTCATGTAGATGGTGCAAACATCGAGATGAGCTTGAAGGCAGTTTCGTGGCGGATGGTCTCCTCAGGAGCAGCGTCTCTTGAAAATGGCCCTCTGAGAAGCCTCCCGACCTTCTTCGAGATTTTCACTGGCATTCCCGGTCGCCACATGCCCTAACCTTCAGGACACCGCAAGCCCTGAACCCTGCTCCCGAACAGCTTAGAAACCTCCCACCCGTAGCCGGAGCACTGATGACACAGCAAATTTTCTGAGAGTCGCGCTTTGAAGCCGTGCTTCAGGAAACCATAGAGATCGCAGTAGTTGATGCGCACCTATGTCAGGAGAACGGAGCCGTTTCAACCTATTCCGAATCACGGGTTGTTCGTGGCTAAGGATTGCAATCCAGCGGAGGATGGGCTTCACACGAACGGAAACACATCTGATATCGTTTCCACAGACATGACACCTGAACTGGAACTTTGATTCCAGATCCCGACTACTTCCAACGTGCTCTAGGTGAAGGACTTTGCGAGTGGCTTGAACGCATGTTGCATTGAGTCACGTTCTATATTGGAAACCGGGAAGAGTATTCCGAATGCTTCTGAAGCCGACCCGTTCAGCAGCATCGGATGTATCGAAGCACTTCGGCGGTCTGCAAAGGAGCTCTTTTCTGTGCTCAAAAACCGGGGCTAAAGACTCTTGAACGCAAGGGCCTGGAGATGAGGCATCAACCCCTCATTTGAAGTAACTCCCATGTCCTTAAACTGGCTGTCATCGACATCCGATTCACGGAACCCGACAACGCTGTAGCATAGGCGAATCACGGCGAATCCGCCTTACAGTGCTCGTTGACAGATGGGAGTAGATAGCTTATGGCAGAACACTTCGGCAAGCAGGGACTGTTGCTGTCAGGAAATCGAGCTAAAGCGTACCCTTCAAAGGAGAAAAGTCGGGAACTTCTAATTCGCCTCAAATCCACCACGTTCTTTTTTCACCCCCGGAATCCACCAACACAACCCTATCTGAGCCGACAGTACCCAGTGCCTCAATGCATCCCCTCAACCCTGAACCGCACACAAAATGCTGGGAGGCTCCACAGAGTTGGCTAACGAGCGAACTTTCCTCGGCACACTTCGGCAGCGGGCTCTCCGTTTCGAACCCTACGTGCATCCCAGGATTTAGGGTCTCCTTTGGGTTTATATGGGCTCTAATCTAAGGGTTTAGTAATGTTTACGGTCTAGGGCTCAGGGTTGAGCGGCTTCGAAAGATGGTCTCGACCTTTCTCAGAGAGGTGCGCGGGATCATCGCAATATCTCTACCTCTGACGAGGAAACTCTTGACGGGAGGGGTGAATCTTGATGCCATGTTCTCTGGCTCAAGGGTAGCATGCATCGCAATGCCCCTGCGACAATAGCTTATTCCTCCATTGAAGTCTACTCAGATGAAAGGGGATGCGTTGAACCTGGTGTCGTTACTTCTCTGCTCTTATGAACTTGTTCATGGGGCTAGGTTCTCACGTAAATCATCTATATTTTGAAGGCACGAGCATGCGCTCGCTTCACGGGCGAAACTTGATGCTTGTGCGGCGGGAGTCCCTAGATGCTGAACTCTGATCCCTATAAGCACTAAAGCACTCAGCCGACGGAACACGCCAAACTCCAAAAGTTGAAACTTCTAGAATCAACCTGAACTGGCAACGATCTCCCTGAGTTCGTCGCTTCTCGCAGAGCAGCACCTCAGAGTGGCGCTAGAGCTAGCGAGTGGCTTTGTCAAGCTTCAGGATAACAACAAAGACCGAAAGCCCTAAGCGTTCAAACCTTCCACCATGTTCAACCCTAAACCCTGCAGCAGCCCTAAACAGCTTGCAAGACCCTCATGACCTCGAGCCACAGAACCGGTGCTTCGTCCGAGGATGCTGCTGCTTGCTCTTGAGCATCCAGCTCCTCGATGCCCTTGACCTTCCAAGCTCAGTGCAGGCGCCTTTTCTTGTTATGGGCGTAGGCTCCAGGTTTTGCTGTAAGGCTTAAGGGTTTAAGCCTTAGAGGCTGGCGGCAACTTACATATGTATTTCCGGCATGTTATGCAGTCTTCTCACGTACCGTATCGTTGCTGCAACGAACACTCCACAGCTTCCTTCGTGGCAACCATGTAGGTCCAGCATACGTCCGGCAGTGAAGATCTCATCCTGAATTACTCGGCACATTGATCCCTTGAGCACATTTGGCCCGGACTGACGCAAGCATCACAAATAACACCTCCACGCACTCTCCGAGAAGGGAACTCGTCGGAGGCTCTGACATCAAGTTGCTTCCAGCAATCAAGGTCCCCCCAAAACTCCTCTGTGACCGCCTATGAGTTCGCTGACGTCTCTCAGTCGCAGCACCGCCACCTTCTCGTTCGGCTTTAGCTGTCGACGGAGCAGACCGTCAGCCTTCACAGTTGAATTCAGCGTGGCTTCTCAAAGTTCGGGAGCCTTTGGGGCGACTTTACGCATATTCAGGCCCCCAGGCCTGCTTGTCGGTGATATGCGCGGCTAGCTCGTTCATGACCTGAAAGGACAATGTGTTCGCACTGCAAGAGTCTGTCCCCATGGGCCCCCACTGCACGGATTTTATACTCGCACTTCCTGAAAACAGGCACAGCCAAGAACGGAAAGTAGCCCAGGCCAAGGCAGACGGTGGTTTCGCTCCATGTGTACACAGGGACTGGTGGCTAGCAGCTAGCACGAAGTTAGAGACTTTCCGGACGGAGCAACCCCTTAAAAGCACAGTATGGTGGCTCTCTTGCAAGTATTCAGTATTCAGTTTAAGAAGGAGACCCCCCAATTAAACCGTTACACAAGTTACTGTTGGGAATTTGTTTAAGGCCCTGTCAAGAAACCCTGTAGAATGGTTCGTAAATGTATAGAGCCTACAGAATCCTACAGAAAAGCCCTGAGACAAAGCGGACCTTCCGAAACGCTGATACCCGCCTTCGCAGAAAATGCGTGCCTCTCTTGGGCCGACACCGTCATGCTCGTCTTCGTCGCGAGCACACAAACACATTTCTGAGCGACGATCTCAAACCTGGGATCGGTTCACGGCGAAGGGCGAGCCTAGGGGCCTTCATGGCGTCAGGGTTCTGGCTTGAGTCTGAGAATTCTGGAGTTATAGGGCTTCAGGGTTCTGGGTCTCGGCGTTGTTGACCGCCGGGTATGCGTTCATGCGAACTTACAGAGTTGCATCGGAAATTGCCATGCGGCCTGGGCAGGCCGATGTGAAGGACAAAAGGAATCCACACTTTTTAGCCTGCTAGAAGCTCTAGAAACCAGTTTTTGTAATTGTAGGGTCCTGAGATCAGCCTTTTGTAGCACAGCCTTTCTAGTGAACCTGCCACAAAGGAGATCATGGAGTTTAAGGTGCTTTGGTCTGCTGGCCTCACGAACTGGCTCCTTTTTCTAATGTTCTGTTCCTCTTTTTGGCGGGAGCGATGGATTCTGGAGAATTGTTGACACACACGGCTACATGCAGGTGTGACCACCTTCCAGAAATACCAGCAGAGAGCTATAGACCTTCGAACGCAGGCTGTCCATGCCTCCTTCCCCAGTTTGAAAGCCTTTGGAACGCAAAGTCCTGGCCCCTAAATCCCAACATCTATAATACGGGAATGCAGGCCGGGTTTGGCATTCTGAGTTCGTAGTGGGGCTGCGGATGACGCATTCATGAAGATATCATCCTGCAGTGTTTTGAAACGATCATGCGACGGCTCTAGTGTTAGACATCTGTTGCCGAGGCACTCCCGAAGCAATCGGAGCAGGCATTTTGCCACGACGGTCTGCTCATCGCTGGGGTTTTCGGGCAGAGGGGGGGGGGGGTTATGGAAGCTGCTACAGAGCCCACCACTTTGGCAGGAGAGGCTAATTGACAAAGAAAAGGAATGACAGCAAC